TAGTCTTCGGGCTCCGGAGATGGAGCAGGGGAATTGGAAGAGGAGCTTTCACCGCCGCCGATGATGATTTCGAGGGCTTTTCTATCGGTGATTTGGTTGTTTCCGGTGGCTAGAATTGAAAGAAAGTGAAGAGACAAAATCAAGAAAATCAAAGAAGAGGAAGGATTATTATAATATGGGCCCATTGATGATAGATTGATGCAAGCTTTTAGGATGAGCTTAATAACAGGTTATATAGAGAAAGTGAGCAAAAATGAAATGAGCTTAATTAAGAGTATGAGAAGTCAATGCACATGTCTTCTTGTGGGTAGCTTTAGGTGAGAACTGATAATACAATTAGCTAAATCTAAATGTGAAGTATTAAATATAGAATCTTCATACAATAATGCCAAAGGGTGGTTGGATACATGTGTAGCTTCGTTGGTGTATTATTTTTCCCGTCAACGGCTAATCCCATTTGCAAAAACAAAACAAAAAATCTGAATGATTGCCTTCGTATTAGAAAAAAGGTGACATAAATTCTTTAATGTGTGACTGACAAAAACTAACTAAGATAGAACAACCGGTAAACTTCTGACCATTAGAGAAAAATGTTTTGTAGGTCCGAGTTTGAACACAACAAATAAATTTTCTTTTCCGGGCGTTGTGTTCAAACTCGGGACCTGCAAGACATTTTACTTCCTAAATTTACCGGCTGTGCTACCTTAGTTTTACTTAGGGCAAGAACAAATATAACAACTAAACTATTCGAAGAAGACGAAGACATTCAATAATGTATAAGTTTAATACGTATATGTACAACTCAAAGTTAACGGAGTCACGACCGGTGGTGACCAATAGATTTTTTTCTTCCCTCTGACCTCTTCTATCTAGCTATTAGGATTCATTGTTCTAGAAATATTCAAATATCTGCATCTTGTTATCTTCTACAATTATCTGTTGACTTTTTTTTTAAAAAAAAATTTGTTCATCGTAATCGTAGTGAATAAGGAGATAGGAAAACAAACTC